GGGGGGGGGGGGGGGGGGGCGTGCTGGAAGGATCTGGAAAGATGGATGGAAGAACTGACTGTTAGAGGCAGATGGGCTGTTATCAAAGACTGAGGAATGCTCAAGGTTGTACCAACGAGCTGATGTGAGAAGACTGGGAGGTTAGGGGAGTGCAGGGGGAAAGGGGGGAAAAAAGGTAAAAGCAACTTTTGGTGTGTGCGGGCTCAGTCTTAGCAATGCCTTGGAACTGTACACGTGTTCTCAATAAATGAACTTTCTTTTGAACCATTACTGGCTGCAAGGAGAGTTACTGAAGTTGGGAGTTGTGAGTGGCAGATGGTTACATTATGCCTCCTAGTAGCATCCTTTTCAAGTGATGAAAAACATGTTCTCTGTAGGATCAGGAAACCAGATGAAGCTCTCAGAGGTTCACTGAGAAAAATTACATTTTTGTAACCCCAAGAACTAAGTTCCAGATTAGATGCCCTGATTTTGCCTGTTTAGACATGGATGCAGCCAAGACTAATCACTTAGGTTTGGCTGTTTCAGCATTTGCAAACTATTGATGTGGATATGTAACATAGTGGTTTGAAACCTATTATTACTTCTATGTATTCAAACCTTTTCTGAGTATTAAAAAATTCTAGAACTGAGATAATCATCTTGACCCCAAAGATGGTTGATAGCTCACTGATTGATAGTTCCAACCAAATTTCTGATTTTACATACCTGTAACCCATACTTTAGTGAACTATTGGGGAAAGAATGGCTTCACAATTCCAAGATGTCTTAGATTAGATTTATGATTTGAATTTGTTCTAATCTGGTTTTCAGTTTGATTTTTGGACAGAAATATACTTACTCATTGGTGGATGACTTACTCCAGAGAATGGACATGGAAAGTTCAAAGTTTTGAATTATTGGGAGAAATAAAAGTTTCTCAGTGTAATACATAACACTACTTCTCATTTCTTCCAACTACTTCTGGAGACATTGAGTTAAACTTAACAAGTAATTGAATGCAGTTTTGGGATGAACAGGGACAAAAAAACCTGAGTTTTAACTGAAATAGGACAGAAATCATATGTTTGGGTAAGTCTGATAATCTACATAGAGATGATCAGTACTGAATAGAGTTGGCCTTCTTCTGGAAGGGCAAGTAGTAAAGCTTTGGGAGTCTTCTGGATTGAATTAAGTCTATGGAAGTATAGGCAACATCAATGACTAGGGCCCCTTTTTGACAGAAGACAGCAATGACATGTCAGTGGGTGAAATATGAAATATCCATATATACTGAGCAGACATTGCTTTTGAAAATGTAGATCAGCTTTGCCCAACTCGGTGTCCTCCTACAGGTGTGTTGGGATTGCAATTCTCAGAATTTCCAACCAGCCTAGCCAATTTCAGGCTAGCAATTCTGGGAATTGCAGCATGAAAACATGTGGATTAGGGTCCCAGATTAGGGAAGGCTGAGCTAGAAGCAGTTGCATATGGAGAATATATTTTGGAGGGTTTTGGAGAAACACCATTCTCCGAGAATAGTTAAGTAGGTGAATTCCAGTGCTGACCCTGAACCCTTCTTGAGTAATATTGCTGATGCAGCAGCATCTGAGAGCCAAAATAATTATTTCATCAAGATTGTGATGGCATTCAATGTAATGGCATTTAATGTTTGTTTTTTAAATTAGCAGCTGCAAAGGAAGGCATCAGGATCTGGCTGTTGTAGCAGGTGAGAAGGAAGAGATTATTCCTTCTCCACATATCAAGGTCCAATTGAAAATTACTTCTCTGGTAGCTGTTATGTGTCCCGGAAGTGAAGGAACGGTGAGCTGCTGACAGCATAAGCACCACTTCTCTCCTAGCCCAAATAGCAGTTCCTGTGTGCATGTTTATGATGCGGAGGGTTTTTCTTGGAACCAGGACAGGAAACCTTAAACTCATTTTCACCTGGGTTATTATAGTGCAAGTTGATTCTGTATTTGTAGAGGACAAATTCTTGTTTAATAGTTTGTTGTTGTTCTTGTTGTTGTTGTTTGGAAAAAAGATGAAAAGTCTTTCATTTAAATTCTTTCATTTTCTTGCCTCATACGCCAAGGTTTCAGATGAAGCTTTCGAGCAGCTTTTTTTCTGCAGCAAGGTTAAATCTTTTGAGTTGCACAATATTAGCAGAAAGCAAGCTTCTAAAACTGATGGGGCAATGCATCACTGGTGTCTGTATCTGTATTTGGAAAAGGGAATTAATGGATGATGCTAAGTACGTGTGAATACTTTTCTTTTATTGCAATGGATCTCAACAGAGCTGAACTGTGTCTCTAAAGGCTATCCCGGCTGTGGCATATAAGAGAGAGAGAAAAGCATCCAGTCATGTTCCAAAGTAGAGTTCTTTCCCATTCATTCCCTGTGCCAGTGTGTCTGGCCTTGATTTTATGCCAGCAGCTTAGGTTACATCCAAATTACTTAAGGCTTCAGAAGATTTCAGCAAGGTTTAGTCTAGGATTGCTCTGTTCTAAAGTAAATAGCAGCACATATGGAGGAAATTAAGCAAGCATACATCTGTCTTTTTTATTACTGACTCTGGGTATGCCATTACTTGGAAGAGCTGTAGGAAATTTTTCTAAGACCTGTTAAACAGAGAAGTTGCTATTCCTAGTACAAATAGCAGTTATTGAGAGAGGGAGAGAAGACATTAGTGCAGCTATTTTGCTTTTAGCACCAGCAGAACATTTTCTGGTCTTTCAAGGCTATAGAAGCACCGGTGAGTTAATCACTTAATTTTTTTATCTAAGAACTTTTAATAAGGTCTTTGGATTAATAGTCTTTGGACACTTCTGGCTTCTGCCTCGTCATATTGATCATTTTTCAGTTTGCTGCTTGCACGCTTCTATGATTCTGCAGTCTGAATAAGCAGTCGTACTACGTCTAGTTCTTAATCAGATGCAGATGTCTTTGTTATAGAAATACATCTTTACATTTCACTTATTCACACCAGAGAAAGAATGGAAATCTCCACTGCCGACATAAAAAGGATGAAACGTTTCTTTTAAACAACAGCTCAGAAGCATCGACTGCTTTAGCTTTTCAAATCTTAGGATTCAAACTGCAGGATGTCATGCAGATATCTTCCTAACCAGACTTCAGCCACACCCATCTATATTTCCACAGTGGAAGTTATGTTGTCTTCTGCTAAAGTGGTTCCATCACCTGTCTCCAGAGCAGCTCTTTATGGTGCTTCTTTCCAAAGGATGCCACCAGCAGAAATTATATCAGATTCAGCCTGGTATTTTCCAACTCATTCATCATCTACAAAGACTTTGCCAATAAGTGACATCTTGCCATCTCCCTGCCTGTCTTCAGAGGTTCACAGCTCACGGCTA